CTGATCATTGTCTATGATGGATTAATAATTGGATATTATAATCATAATGGTGGAAGCTGTATTTTGCTCCATTAAGTTTGTAGTCAATTTTTAAAGAGTCTTACTTAGAATTTGGATCACTTTTTTAAAATCTATTTAGGCACCACAACAGATTATTCACACGCATTTTGTCTGGTTTGGTGGCTTTCAAGTTCAAATCTATTCCGGTCTCAGCTGTGGTTGCTGTTCGCAGTAACTGGGTTATAGTTTGCATGCAAATGTATCTCTGAGTGAAACTGCGCTGTAAAAGTGGAATTATTTCAATCTACTGGGAAATATTTTTTTCACTTTTGAAACAGTTTCTGTGTCCTGTAGGTTTCTGCTTTCATGTCTGCCATCAGTTTTACTAAAGCTTTGTTTATCAGCTGTCTTTGTCACACACTGATGCTGTGAGTCAGATGGTGTCTTTGCCTTGTGGTGTGTTTTATGGCATTTCAACAATTTGGGATGGCAACATTTTGTTGTCATGTCATGCTTTAAGTGTTGATGTCACTGACTCAATGAGAAATACTACGTGTCTTCTTCCAAAGTGTGGCTTTAGTTGTGTGTTGTTTTTTGTTGTCTCACTTCCTAATTATGGTGACGATTCTGTCCTTTGAAATTGGACACATTTACGGCCATAATGGATTTTGTCTTGTCTCCATTTGAGTATTGATTACTCCATGGATGATGTGTTATATTGCACTGAATGCTCTGATACACACATCATCAATATTCTTGCCACTGGACACTACAAAGAACCGTGACACCGTGAAAGAACTCGTGAATGCATGATGATATTTCTCTGCCAGGTGTGTCTACAGCTGATTTGGGTGGACCTAAGATGGCCAATCTGGGCCAAGCTGTTCAAGATCTGAAGAGAGAAAAGAGTAGAGCACTGGGTCCGTCGTATGGAAAAAGAGAGAGAACTCTTGGACCTGAAATACCCAGCATGAGGAGAACCGATGTACTTGGTCTCCCTGCTCCTGAATTACAGGCAGAAACTGGTTTTAGACCTTTACTGCCACCTGGGAGAGAGGTCAAAAGCCTTGATCCAGCAGTTAGGGCACCAAGTCTTGGACCTCTGACACCCCTTGATAAACAGACTAAAGGTCTGGTTGTTTCACAAGCACAAGGAGGACAAAGTTATGAGCCTATGATCTCAGAAAGAAGGGCTGTAGCAAGCCACGGAGCCACACTTGCCACTGCACAGCAACTGCCTCTTGATAAAGACAACATCAGAAGTCTGGGTTCTGCTTCTTCTCAGGTACAGAGTGCAAGACACTATGATTCATCTAGCCAACAAAATCAGCGAGGCCGAAACTGTGGATCCAGTGATAGTGATTTGTCACGTTTGTTGGAAATTAATCGCCATGAGCTTTTGGGTTCAGAAACGCAGAGGAGGCAGAGTTTAGTGCCCCAGCCTCATGACGATAAGGACAGTAAACATCTTGGACATGCAGCTCCACAAGCACAAGAGGAGAGAACCTATCGACTGCCTCTCTCACAAACGCCGGATGCCAGAAGCAATATATTCTCTCTTCCACTGGGAACCAGGAACTATTTCTCTGCTGTAGCAGACGGGCAAGGTGTCAAAGACCTTGGGCCTGTGGCCACAGATGCAAATAGGCCTGGAATCCGTGGGACTGTTTCTGTAGAAAATCATAGTCGCAGTTCTGTAAATCTTCAAGTACAAGGAGGGGGGAGCTATGGACCACTAATTCCAGGAGCAAGTGGAACCCAAAGTTTAGGCAGCGCCGCAGTAGAAGGGCAGGAAGCTAAAGGCTTAAATGCTGATGGTCAGGAAGCAAAACACCTTTCCAATGCTGAACGTGAAGTCACAAAGTCAAAATCTCTCAGTATCCCAGGACAGACTGGGAGGAATACCCAAGCAACAAGTAAGAGCAAGTCCTTATACACCATAACAATGTCTTTTTGTCTCATTCTTGAGATTCACGCTATATTTTTCTCCTAAATTCCACTTTCTATGACACTTGACACTATGACAAATGCTTTATTACAATGAAATACAGTTAATTTTAATTTGTTTCTGTATTTCCCCAGCTCAGTTCTATAGTAAATAACAATTTTTCAGGTGACTGTTGTCTTTCTAAAGTTTCTACAAATCTATTTCATCATCCACCTGTTTGTGCTAGTTGTTTGATAGTTGTGCAGTCTGTATCTGAGTAACTTATCTGATAAACAGATAGCAATACCGCATTACACAGCTGCTTCCATGCCCTTTTTTCAGTGGTTTGTCATACTCTTTTTGTTTATTGAAGTCTGTCTGCATGTCTCTTTGGTTTGTGGTGCTGTTGTTCTTTTGGCCTTGTCTGGAGTTTAGTTTAGCTTTCGGTCTGTGTCGTGCTTAACATCTGGCCCATCCCACTTGGGATTAAAGGACATCTCTATTTTACAAAACATACATCTTCTAGTAAAGCATAAAAAACAAAAGTTACAACACTGGAAAGTACTTATACATTTATTTATATATTTCAATTTGGGACAATGGTTGTTACGTCGGGACAAAGCAGAATTCGGGGTCATTTGGAGCCCTAACCTACAGTATACTGCTGGAAGCTTGACCTATGGATTGTCTGTATTTCGAAGAGTTTGTAAGCTGTGATCAGTGACACATAACAGCCAGTAATTATTGTTGTGGGTTTCAGGATATTATAATAAACAGCGCTCATCCGGCTTTGTGATAGTCGTTGTAGTCTCTAGATAATGGGCCAGCAGCTGGTGTGACCAGTAGTTCTAAAAATAGTAAAACCATTAGCCTGAACATGCTGAGCGGTGTCCTTGTATAATTTTACCTTTGCATGGATGAAGAATCATAGCCATCATCAAGCCTTAATTACTGTGAGACTTAAGCTTCTGAGATACCTTATGAGATGGTTTCCTGGTGTATCGTCTATGATCTAGGGGGAATAACTCTGAATGGAGAGTTAGCCAATAGTAAAGTGTCACCTGAGTGTCCTTGTGTGTTAGTATTATATAAATCAGAAATAGATGATTAAAACGATAATCTGCCACGCCTAAGCAAGCTGAAAAAATGCACAAATCTTTCTGATTTAAGGCATAAAATAGATTATTGTTATTGAATATTGTTGGACTCTGTTGTTGGTGTAGGTGCTTCAGGGTCCTCAGCTGTTAAGAGCAATGGAAGACACCTGCTTCCTCTCTCGGGAAATCTCTCTGTGGTAACAAACCAACTGAGAATAAATACTGAACTCTTTCCAGCCTCTGTTACTGATCTTAGATTGTATAGTTGAGTCTCACGGCTCCCAAACAAGCCAAAGCAGGAGGAGGAGCATTTTTCTCCCTGTTGTAAAATTTGTATGCTTCTCAGTAACAGGATGGGTGTGGCCTTGTACTGAATTAGCTGTCTAGACCTTTGAGTGCTAGAAGTAGTGATCTATGATACTGAGAGACATTTATATCTCACAAAACATATTTTAATGCACTTTTATATCTCCTATGCCATGTTTCTTTTTATTATTTTACCTTGAGATACAGTCCCAGTGCCAAAAACAATGGCACATTTCTGTATCATTCACAATATAGGGCTCATATTTGCTTCATAGCATTGATTAAGTGATGATCTATTAATCACAGCTCAGGATAAAGAGGTTTAGATCAGAGTTCTTATGTTGGTTAATCTCTTTGTCTTCATATCACACTATCTATTTTATGATTATTGGTCCATGATTAATATCTACAGGTACAATCTGATGCAGTTTGTTGGGGTTCCCTTGAGTTTAATCAATTTTGTGTTTCTAGAAAGTGATCCTGCAGCGGAAACCTAATACCTCCAACAATATCTGTGTCTTACTGTGTGTCCTATAATATGTGTAGTGTGTTTTAGGTTACCAAAGTTACAATATGCTTTTTTAGGAAGATGCAAAGGAAAGAACAAGACATAAGATACATAGAAGACAGTGCATATAACAAGGAGAAATAAGTGCTTAACTCTTACAGTAGACGTCAAAAAAAGATGCTGAAAGAAGATTCAACATCTGGTGTTGTGTTTTTTAGGATTCAATCCAGGAGAGTCAGTGTCCAGTGGAGAAGGTGCTAAAAACCGCCCAACCCTGGCAAAGATGTTGAAATCTGCTGTGTGTGTGTTTTTTTTTTTTTGTTCCACTGTCAGCTGCACATGTCTAAGAGCCTGTTAACAGCAGCGTCTGTATATTCTGTATATGGAAGCAACTGAATGAAGCAGGATATTGTGTCCCAGTTTTATCAGGTGTTTAAAATATGATTTGATTTAATGGTGCTGAGAGATCGACACTCATGTTTCTTTCTATAAATGTTGGCACTAGTGTTTTATTTAGAAAATCAGCGATCATGTCCCTGTAGCCCACAGAAAGTTACAGATATGTTTGTTGAGCTTATGTTAACCTCCTCCACAGGTTATATTGGTGGAGCAGGAAACTATCTGGGAGCAAACCTGGGCGCTGGGGGCTATGGCGCAGGTAATGTTGGGCACTGACACAATACAAGAACAATTCTCGCTAACAGATAGAGATCGTCAATGTAGATTTACACCACCTGTGGTAAAGGATTCCCGTGTACTGCTTACAGGTTTGGGACAGGGAGCATACCTGGGTGGTGCAGCAGGCAAACATGCAGGTAAGGACGTACATGTTCATACACTTTTCTTTTCTTTGTTTTAATTTCATTTTAATTTTATACCCTTTGCACCATCTCCTTACTCCTAACTCCCTCTCTCTCTAAAATAAATCTCAGCTGCTGCTGCTCTTGGACAGGGTGGGTATCCCCAAGGTGTTGCAGGGATATCAACTGGTGAGGCTGTGGAATAATTGTACCATCTGTCCCCTTTCTGAAGCATTTTCAATCTCAGTTTGTAATCTAAATTTTTCATTCTTAACCTCCACAAACCTACTGACCGTATGCAAATGTAGAAGCTTGTGTGAGAGAATCAGGATTTGCCCAACCTGAATTTTAATGTTCGGGCTGTGAGTGGAGCTGAGGACACACCGAAGATCATGTGTCACACAGCATAAAACCAGCTGTTACTCCTACTTTGCCTTGTAAACCATTTGCTTGTGAGTCGTCCTGGAAAGAAAATAGCTGTTTTAGCTGTTTAACTCTTTGAGTTCTTCCTTTCGTTAAAGGTCACAGCATCTTCTTTTCCTTTCTGGTGAATAATTGATAGTGCTTTTAAAAGGTAGATGATACCACCACCAACAAAGGATTACTCACAAACCAGTCCAGTCAGAGTCCAGAAGTAGTGAGTCTTTGTCCCATGCAATATGTTTTGAATGTGTGTTATTACAGGCTATGGTGAGGGAACGACAGGGTACCTGGGTGCCATGGCAGGCAATGGCTATGGTGAGTGGAAACTCTTGCACAGAGGAATTCATATTCTATGCGAGTTATAGAAGGTTGATTGATTTAAATTTAAAAGCCAAAACTTTAAACCTTGAAACGTGAATTGTCTGCCTGCAATGGCCGAGCATCTTTCTTCATTCTGTTTGGTGTCAGAGGGAATCTGCATCAAAGCCTTCACTGACTGGAGTGATGATATAACTGATCCTGTGTGTTGTGTGACTTTCTTTCTCTTTCTCACTGTAGGTGGAGATGCTGGTGCAAAATCTTTGTCTACAGGTATATATATATTTGGTACAAGGTAGTCAGAAAAACACAGCACGACTTTGAATTTGATTTTTACAGGTAAATATGGCTCTTTAAATGTTTTGACATATATCTCCTTCTCTCAACAGGTTATGGGAATGGTTACAGTGATGGTTACGGGGCTGGTGAGTCTCATTCAAAATAAAAAGAAGGGAGGTTAGAGGGGAAACTTATAATGCTAATTAGAACTATGTTTCAGGGCTTGGTTACCCTTCAGAATTAGCTGAAGTTGCTGAGAACAAAGCAGGGAAGCATGAAGGTAACAATTTTGAGGTGTTATAACCTGCTGAAACCCATAAGGGTGGTGGCACTAACCCGTAGATGCTTTAACTTGTGACATTTGACAGCTTTAAAAAAATAAGGTCCTGTTTAGATCTGCCATTAACACACATTTTGGATGATCCAATCACAAGTGGACAACTCCAAGGACGTCAGTTCACACCTGGTATTAAAATGTGTCTTCAATGACCATCTGTGATCGGCTCTCACTTTCCCGCCGCACACTTAATAGGGCTGTGTCAGTCAATGTCCATTATTACTATCCTTCTGGCTGTTCAATAAGAAAAGATTCAACTATTTTTCAGTTGAGAGTTGCATGTTTTATCATGTTGTTTCAGCAGCCCTGCAGGAGAGACGCTCTGTGGTGGCTGTAGGATTTTATAACTGAAATATATGAGCAGGACACACACTTTTACTTCCTCCAACTGTGTGGAAATCTGATGTTTTCACATCACAAGGGACAAAGACAGAACTTAATACCAGGGAAAAAGAGCATCTCTCCTGCTGGGCTTCATGCCAACACCCTGTACAACAAATTTACAAGAAGACCCAAATGATTAAGTATTTGTCATAGACAGCATTATATATACGTTGCTTTGTTCACAAACATCTGCTTCTTATCTTGGCAGAGAGCCCTGCAAGAGTGTTTTGTTTATACAGGATGGCAAATGTGTAGGCGGTCTTTCGGTGTGGCCCAGGAAACACTGCGTACACACTGCTCAAAGAATGTGGTCACATGCAGCCCAGACAACCTCCGAATGTGGTCTGAGCGAACAGATCTTAATGCACGCTCAATGTGTCTTGGGTGCTGTACTTTGGGATCGGATCACCCAAGATGCATGTTAATACCAGGTCGAAACCGGGCCTAAGAGGCCGTCAAGGAAACACCCTCCCCTGCTGAACAACCAGTGTGGTCTTTTATCCACTGGGTGTAGCTATTGTCTCTAATTCAAAGAAGCTGACCAGTTTAATCTGGTGGTTTCTGACTTCCTGCTCCTGTAGACGCTTTTTCACACAGTTGTTTCTAAAGGTGTGACTCAGTTAACGGATTAACTGTGTCTGACCTAAATGTTTGTGTTTATTTTTTATTTTCCTAGCCCTCAGCACAGGAGGCCAATATGGACAGGTCCAGGGAGCGTATGGTAAGACATTTATGGATGGAGCAGCAACAGTGTGACACTGGCTGCCCATACACTGTTACAAATACCAACCCAGGGAGATACAATAAGGCCTCCACCAAGGCTGCACAAGATGATTCATATATTTACAATTAAACAGGTGGAAAAGACGATGTGAACAAACAACTGTCCCCTCCCAGCACACACAGATGCAGGTTGTGTAGTGGTTTGTTCACGGTAACTTATGAGTTGATTATCTAATAATATAGCAGCGAAGTTTCACACAAATGCTGCGTAAAAGCTACAGCTACAAATATCCATCTTCCACATTTCAGTCAAATCTGTTACTTTTGAGAAATCGTATCAAACCAACAGACAAGCTGAAGGGAAAAAACCTAATCACCAATAAGTGGTCTGTATGAATATATATAGTTTGAAAGCTTTTTACCGAAGCCCCTCTTATCTTCTTTCAGGAGCACTTGGTACAGGACTGGAATCAACTGGTGGCAAATATGGTGAGCAGAGCTTACATGACCTCATCCTTCTGTCGCACTATTAGTCAGGCTTCTGTCAGTGTGGGTTTCCATGTGCGAGTCATACTTAGCAAAGAGCTTGGTTTACAGAAAAAATGAGAGAAAAAGACAGAATAGATGTGGGCCAGTTTGACCGTCGGTTTTTTCTTGCAGGAGGAGCTGCTCAGGTTCCGTATGGTAACGCTCCAGTGATTCCTACTGGACTGGAAGGTAAGAGCTGCAGGTATACATAATGATAATAGACTCCACCTTATTTGTTATTGTCATTTATCTGGACATTTTCTGTGTGTCGTTGGTACATGATATATATAAGCTGAACTGTAGTCATGTCAGTCTATTGGTGGAGTCCTCAATCGTAGTTTCAAGGGCCTCAAAAGGCTGTAGGGGACAATCTATCTTTTTCACTGCAGTCAGTTAGAAATGAGATAGTAGGGGAAAACACAGGTGTCAGCAATGACACTAATAGGTCAAACAGAGTCAGGGTGCCTGTATTTACCCTACTATTTCATATCAAAATGGCACCTGTGAAATAAATCTATAACGAAAATAAAATCAACATCCCCAGCCTGAGGCCCTGCGTGGTACGAAGGGCACATAACATTGACTTTTTGTTCAACCATCCGGTTAAATCATCACAACCTCACTGCAACATTTCCATGTATGTCATCTCCTTAGGTGATGGTGGTTACCCGTATGGCGCTCAGCAGCTCGGGCTCGGTGCTGAAGGTGCCAAAACCCTCAATAAATACGGTGAGACTGAGAGGCTACGTGAGCTATGAAGTGTGAAAAACTGTTTGTAACAGAAATGGGCTGGGGTTTGGCTGTTTTTCTAAAGCAGTGAGGTAGTATTTTTTAACCAGTTAAGTCCCAGTGAAGTTGAAAACAGAATAATACTAAAATGGCAAAAAATATTAATTTACCATGGAATATTAATGATTTAAAATGTCAGCCTCAGATTCCCCATAAACATGGAGGCTTTATTTCCCATCTGTGTTTTTGCATTCTGGAACAGACAGCAGATTTATGTCCTGCGATATGAGATACTTCAATGCTGTGTGTGTTATTGTGTTGTATCTTGTTACCTTTATTAAAGTACAACATATTTTGTGCTTTTTCAGGAGCTCAGCAAACAGGTAGGAATTTCCATGCACTCTCTCACCCAAGCAAACAACACATCCTCTCACACAATGCACAAGACCCCTTCTGTGTATCCTTCGTCACACCAGTACATCGCATTTCACTTCACAGAGGTGGTTGCATGAGCATGACAGTAATAAGCATTTTTAGTATCGCTATGTCTTGCATAATTGAGAATAAAGTGTACCCTTTAGCTGCACACATTACTCCAGCTACCCCTGAAGTCCAAAAACACATAAATGTATGTTGTGTATTTGTCTTTTGTCCTGGTGTGTTTTTAAATTTTTATTTCTTTTCTTTTGTTCGATAAGGTTATGTTGCACAGCTTGGAACAACTCAAGATGCCTTTGGTAAGCAAGAAACCCCCAGACTTCCTCATTTATGAACAACTTCCACTCACTTTGCAGTTTCTGGTGCCTTTATTAGCATGTCTTCTTGCATAATATTAAAGTGACAGCATATAGTGTACCGCAAACTTTGCTATGTTACAAAATAGCTTTCTTTAGTGCGGTTTTGCAAGTGTCTAAACATTACTGTGCTTTCAAACACACACACAATTTCTTTTCCTGACTAAAACAAATGAGGTATATCTATTTTTGGAAAATAAACTCTTTACACGCACGTAATTTTTTCCCCCACATGCTCTGACCATGTACTTCTACTTAAATTGCACACAAAATGTACAACTGCATACATTATTGATTCTTTTCCACTTAAGGGTATGGAGCCTGCATTGTGAGTCCTCTAATAAAAGTCAAAATCCTTTGTTGCAAGGTTTAGCTTAGCTGTCAACATCTTTTCTCTTACTGCTGCAGTTTCCTTCTGAACTCATTTATAACATATGGAACTGCGTTATCCTTTCACAGGAGAGCAAGCTGGCAAATATGGCAGAGTGAATGGTGCCCTTGGAAATGGATACAAAGGTGAGAATGAAGGAATTTTACAGTTGGTGCACGTAAAACCTTATAAAATGTCACCATGGGGAAAACTTTTAAAGAAAAATAGATTGAATATGATATGTTAAGGTGGACATTTTTGCGGTTTATTGTATGTCATTAACGTTGCATACATTCTGTCTTGTGTTTGTCATCAAGCAATCAAATTCAGCAATATTTCCTGATTCATTAACTTTGTGCTCCTCCCCATCTGTCTCTGTCTTTAACCAGGCTAATTCAAATGACCTGGACTTCTTCAAGTGGATCATTTCCATAATGTGTTCAGTGTAATGTGTTTTTAAATCTTTTCATGTGTTTCAACCCATTTTTCCTGTTGTGTTATGTCTGTTTTGTCTTGTTTTATTTTTCTTAACCCCTTTGTCTTTCTCTGTAAGTGGACATTTGCTACTTATGTCTGTGTGTCTTGTTGGTCCAAACCCTTGCAGTGCCCTACCAGTCTTATTCTGTCGACACTGAAAAAACCTGGTGGCGATTGATGAACATAAATAGATGTTAAGTGCAAGAAAATTGTCTGTATGTTTTAAAATGAATAATAAAATGATGATTTTACTGTTTGAAGCCAATAAATTATGTGTCAAATGATGCTGAAAAGAAGCTTCCGAGTAAAAACCCTTTACATCATGTTTACCTACATGCACTGTTCTCTTTAATAGTGTCAGCAAAGCCTCATCCGTACACAGGAAGTTTTACCACTTCCTTTCTCATGTCGGGTAACACTGACACGAACAGAACATGAACACTTAAATCAAAACTAAAAGTAATACAATGAAACATCGAAGAACAGTTTAGATATTATGCGTTTATTCAAACATGTAAGATTAACATACATAAAACACATAAATGTTCGTATAGGTGATAAAATGCTACAACAGTGATTGCACAACATCATCTGCAATGTTTTTGAATCTGCAAATAAAGAAGTGGAAAAATAAGGCATAAATAAGTTTATAATAAAAAAGCTATGTTATATCAAACTTACATTTTGGCTACAAGAACCTTTATATGATGTGCTGTATTGTCCCGTGAAAGACAAGGGAGTATGATGGGCACTAGATGATACAAATACGTCGGCAGTACGACATTTTCTAGAATTGAGCTGCAGCTGCTTTGTCAACACATAATACATTTTACCAAACAATCCTTTATGCTTAGTGCAGACTTAATGAGGAATGTTAGTTACAGAAGGGTTATATGTCGCTATGCATGTCTCAGTAAAGCCAAACACACGGGTATTATATCTCATCATACTTTGGGCTCTGAGTAGTAAGACTCTGGTTTCTCTGTGGACTTTTTTCGTCCACAAACACACCCATCTGTAACAGGAATGCCTTTGGAATAGGGTGGGCATGACGGGACACATACAGCGGCTTAAGACTTTGATTCATAGGCGAAGGCTTATAGTCCATGCATTTATCTCCACTCAGACTCGGAGCGCATTTCACTTCCAATTTGTAGAACAGCTTGCCGTGCTGCAGGTTGCAGAGATCCTTCTTGACTCCAGCAGACAGGACTGTCTCACATTGTCCCAACAGGTCGTCATCCCACTTGTTGTCCTCATCCCACACTTCAAATCTCACATTATTGTCTGTTGACAAATCCCGGGAGCCCAGGGGGACGACCATTTCCCAGTGTGGGTTGTTGTTGTTGTAAATGACGGGAGAACGTTGGATCATTACCCCATTGAAGGACACCTTCACGTAGCCATCGGTGGCTGTGCTGTGGTCTCCCCAAAGACCAGAAGCCCGTTGTACAGTTATGGTGACTTCTGCCATGCCTTTACGGGTTGGGCAGCAGTCTCTGTTTACAGCGGGGTCATTGTGGCATTGGCAGACGCAGGAATCCTTCAGGTCGCTCTTGATGCCGGCCTGACATTTTTCACTGCAGTTCTTCCACAGACCTTTCTCCAGGATGTAATGACTAATGGCTGAGCGCAGGTTCTTACGGACAGGGGTGTTAGTAGGCAGCAATTCATGAAGTGAATCCAGGGAATATGAGACTATGTCTGGGTTCTGTGGTAATGTGTTCAGCCATTCCTTGTAGGCCGATGGATCTTTGTCAGCAGAAAAGAGAAGGTCTGGCTCTGTCGTATGGCCCCCCTTTATTTCTGTAAATCTATAGAGAAGAGAGTTGCTTAAGAACTATTTCAAGAACTAACAATTTTCAGTTATTAATTATTATTATTATTATTTCAGTCATTAATTGAAAATGTGACAAAATAGATCAGAAAATGTTCTATACCTGTCGTTGAAGAGGCTGGAGAAGGATGTCTTACTCTCCATCTTGTTCATGTCTGCCTGGCAGTGTTTTGCTTCAGTTTCTATTGTAACTCTCATGCTAGCGGAGGCTTCAACTTCCAGGCACATCTGCACCTCTTCCACGCTGAGGCCCTGCAGGCTGGCCTGGCACTGCCTGATGCTGGTCACAGATTGAACACTTCCTCCCATCTTCACCTAGAATGATATATTTGAACAAATAGCTCATAAGCAAATGTGTTACTTTGTATAATTTTGCCAAATTGTTAATTAATTACGCTTTGCTTTCACAATCTTAGTTCACCTTGGTGATGTAATGGGTGCCAAAGTTGTCAATCAGTTTGTAAAATCGTCCCTTGTTTTCAGGGTTGTAGATTTTCGGGAGCCCTTTCACTGCTTTGTGAAATTCTTTGTGCAACTTGGGAGTGCCGGACACTCTGTAGCTGTTTCCAGTGAGACAAAATACAGATCAATATGAAACAAATGAATTAGGATATTGTATTTATTTTTAGAGCTAGGTGACTGTATAGAGAAAACTTTCATCCCAGCCATCGTCTTCTTACCTGTAGTACTCACAGGACATGCTGTGGCTTGTGAAGCTGAACTTGTCATTCTTAGTTTTTTCCATGGAGTATTCAGACAATTTAGAATTGGTACCAGCTAGCATCAATGAGGCGCTTTTATCTCCTCCTTCAAAATTTAAGTTGGTCTTCCAGTTATTTTCAACAGAAGAGGTGCTAGAGCTGACCAGAGACTCACTGGATCGGTGGAGTTTACTGGCCGACGTTTCATGCTGCAGGAGTGCTGTTGCCCTCCAGTCCACCACGTGTGAAGGGGAGGCTTCTGCTTCTTGTTCTCCAGATAGTGGTGCTGCCACAGGGGTGCATGTTCTTGTCCTTGCGTGTTGATCCACGATTCCATGTCAATGCGAGCAAAGAGGCCCCTTTACGTGTCATTTTGGTGATATCAAAGCCTTCCCCAGGCGTAAATTGGCTATCCTGTGATGCAAATTCTGCGTTCCATGGCACTGTTTTGGGAAGAAAGGATACCCATACTGCTAGAAGCAGAAGAATGATTTCGGATTTTCAGATGTAACAACTACGAGGGAGGACTATGTCAGATAGAGGACTTTATTAGCGAATAAGACGTCAGAATAGATTTCAAACTGTTCAGGAAAAGAAAAGTAGATATATGGCTCTGTTCATAGTGAGATTGCAGATCTTCAGTTCAACCATCATAGTTTCAAACTTGAATGGTTTATCCTGAAAAAAGAAACATTTTAGATTGTGAACTAAGATGATGGTATTAGCACTATAACCAACGACGCGGTCGTGGTTAACTTAAGGGGTTAAAGGGTTTTAATAATTCGTACCTCATTCGATACTTTGAAGGGCTCTGAGTAGTTAAGGACTCTTGGTTTTTCTCTGTTTGGAAATTTTTTTTTTTTTGCGCTTGTCCACTAATAGAATGTTATAGTCAAAATAAAAAAATAAAAGATGTTAACCAGTATATAGGTTGTTCAATTCTTGGTGTAAATCCATAGTGTGCTCGAGTTTATAAATTCTTTATTGCTTCGTTTTCCATATTCTCAGTTCATGTCTCAAGCTTTCTCGTTTTT